TTGTCATATGAATGCGGACTAGGAATAAGATCGTGTCATGACCAACATAGGTTTATTATATTTTGAAAGAGAATAGTAAATAATAGTGGAATTATAGATCGTCATGACTGCAAGGATTGAATTAATTATCACAAGTTGAGAATTGAATTCTAGAATCAATTAGTGAAATCGGAAATCCAATACATTCATCCTTATTTGATTTAAAAATCATTTTCTTTCTTTTATTACTTTCGTAGTTATAGAACGTAGTTAACTACAAATCAACCATTTTTTATTATTGTTGCGAATTTAGATATATCGGATACACTGAAATTGAGCATTTTTCCCTATGGAACAATAACTCACTCATCATAATTATTACTTGTACAACAAACTCGTACACTTACGAGAAAATTTTGTAACAAGTTTTTGGCGCCGTTATCGGGGAAATAGCGGTGTTTATTTTAGTTATTGATATTCTAGATTCGTTGCTATTGTCAGTTTTGTTACTATAGGTTGGTTTTATATTGCTTCATTCTCTATTGTCTTGACTCTTTTCAGGCAGATCTGGTTTATGCAAGCTCTGATGAGGTTGATCTAGCTCCAATAGATTACGAAATTGAAAGGACATTCAGAAATCGTAGAAGAGGATAACTTCAAGCAAGGAGAATGGTTGATAAATAGAATCAACAACAAAACGAGGCTCATGTTCCAGTTCATAATCAACTACCACATCCAAATCAACAGAGAGCCATCCAAAATGAAGTTCCCATTGTAGTCGCAGACTATGTCAATCCAAGTCCTGCTCCAGTGCAACCTGCTATGATTTATCCTCTATTCGGACAATCTAACTATCACCTCAGACCGGATGTCATAAATCTATTCCAAAATCATTAAGACATCATGTTTTTTGGGAAATTCATGGAGAACCCTCATGAACACATTTCAGCATTTCTCATGTTATGTGAAGTTATTAGTCACGAAGGGATATTAGTAGATGCATTTCGAATGCGATTATTTCCTCAAACTTTGAAGGATGCTGCAAAGGAATGGTTCCTCTGCTTACCTCCAAGGAGTGTATAATCGTGGAATGATATGGTTCAAAAGTTCACCATGAAGTTCTTCCCACCTTCTCAAGTTCATCAAATCAGGAATGAAATCCACACCTTCAAGCATAAAGATTTTGAGAGCTATTCTGAAGCATGGGAGAGGTTCAAGAATCTGTTTACAAAATGCCCTAACTTGGACATTCCAAAGCAGGCTAAACAATATCTTTTCTATAACTAACTACACTAGGAGTTTCAAAACATGATAGATGTTTCAGAAGGAGGATCAGTGATGAAACTTGACGTCAATGATGCATATAAATTATATAAAAGATGTCTGAGAATCAATCGATGTGGCCAACTGATAGGGAAGTTCCAAGGAAAATAGCAGGGGTGCACAACGTGGATGCAATGACAGCATTGGCAGCTCAAATGGAGCTTCTTACGATGAAAATGGATAATCTATCTCAATCAGTCAACATGGTACACCAATCACCACCTGTGTGCGAAGGTTGTGGAGCAGACCACATTACTGCACATTGTCCTTTGGTATCTACACAAGTTTCACAGCCCAAAGAGATTAGTTACGCACATAACTTCCCAAGGCAAAAAAATAATCCCTACTCCAACACATATAATCTAGGTTGGATAAATCATCCAAATTTTTCATGGTCAAACAATCAGGGGCAAGGACATGGACAAAGAGAAAATAACCAAAACAGGCTTCCAACATCATCAACAACAACAGGAGAAAAAGCCCTCATTGGAAGATCTGCTATCTCAGTACATCACAAAGACTGAGACCAATTTTCAGAATCAACAGGCTTCAATTAAAAACTTGGAACATTAAGTAGGTCAGATAGCAACC